AGCGATATCATACAGTATTTGTATTTCTGTCTGACTTATTTCACTTAGCATAATGCTCTCAAGATGTTGTAGCAAATGGTAAAATTTCCTTTTTTATAGCTGAATAATATTTCTGTGTGTGTGTGTCACATTTTCCTTTTCAATTCATCCATTGATGGATACTTAAGTTGTTTCCATGTTGTGGCTATTGTAAATAATGTTGCAGCAAATGTGGGGGTGCACATATCTTTTGAGTCAGTGTTTTCATTTTCTTTGGATAAAAAGCCAGAAGTAGAATTGCTAGATCACATGGTAGTTATTTTTATTTTTTCAGGAACCTCCAAACTGTTTTCTATAGTGTCTACAACAATTTATATTTCCATCAACAATGCACATGGATTTTCTTTTCTCCACATCCTTGCCAACAGTTATTTCTTGTCTTTTTGATAACAGACATTCTAACAAGTGTCAGATGGTATCTCATCGTGGTTTTGATTTGCATTTCGCTAATGATTAGTGATTTGAGCACCTTTCATGTGCCTGCTGGCCATCTGTATGCCTTCTTTGGAAAAATGTTTATTCACATCCTCTATTTCTTAATTGGATTTTTTTCTATTGAGTTGTACGAATTCTTTATTTTGGATATTAAGAATTTGGATAAAGAATTTGCAAAAATTTCCTTCCATTTAGTAGGTCGCTTTTCATTTTGTTGATGGTTTTCTTTGCTCTAAGGAAGTTTTTTACTTTTTACTTTACAAATCATGTTTATTTTTTCTTCTGTTGTTGCCTTTGCTGTTGGTGTCAGATCCCCCAAAAAATCATCACCAATACCATTGTCAAGGCACTTAATGACTTTTCTTTTTCTGGGAGTTTTATGGTTCAGGTCTTACATTCAAGTCTTTAATCTATTTTGAATCAATTTTTGTGTATGATGTAAGGTAATGGTCCAGTTTTATTCTTTGGCATCTGGCTGTCCAGTTTTTCCAACAGCATTTATTGAAGAGACTGTTCTTTCTCTCACTGTATGTATATTCTTGGCTCCTTTGTCATAAATTAATTGACCATATATGTGTGGGTTTCTTTCTGGACTCTCTTCTGTTTCAATGATCTATGTGTCATCTAATGCCAATGTCATACTATTTTAATTACTATAGCTTTATAATATAGTTAGAAATCAGAGAGCATGATGCCTTCAGCTTTGTTCTTCTCTCTTAAGGGTGCTTTGGATATTATTAGTATTTTATATTAAGAGAAGATATAAATGAGTATTTCTAAATGTTTTAATTGTTATTTCTTATATTTACAAATACAGTATGATTTACTGGGACGACTACTGCCACCATTACTAGTAACACTACTTCTAATGGCATCACTGATTCCTTGCTATGGGCCAGGCATAGTCCTAAGTATTCTACTTATATTAACTCATTTAATCCATAAAAAAATTGCTATAGGGTACTTTTGTCATTTGCATTTTTACAGATAAGGAAACAGAGGCATCATGAAATTAACTTGACTCCCATAACTGAGAGTCAAACCCACATAGTATAGTTTTAGAATTCAGGATCCTCACTACTACAGCTGCCAAACTTAATCAAGCAAGCACCTCTGACTATTCTAGGTAAAGAGTAATGTATTCTTTTCTAAGATAAACATATTGAGTTGATACTATATTGTTTAGATTTGACTTTACTAGAGCTTAGCTCAGCTTTGACATTTACAGACCCAAGTTAGCTTTCATCTCATTGCAAGTTACAAGGCAACCTGGAATTCGGTTCACCTGCAAAAGGCAGTTAGGAAGACCTAGAGGAAGCTCATTAAAATGCAGCACATTTCCAAGGCACCATATCTTGCTGTGTTGCCATAAAAACAATTGGAATTTCTGGTCACTGACCTTTAAGGAAATCTAAGGATATATTTTCATAAGATTCATAAGGAAAGTTATCCTGGTACATTAACCTATAGTTGCAGGATAAACTTTGGAAATCTCTTATGCAATCCTACCTGACTTTAGAAGTATGTTGTATCAGAAAGACTTACTAGAGGCTCAAATTCAGGCTTTTTGAAGGAATATTTTTTTTAACTGCTTCCAATATACTATCTGTGCTATTTGATTTAAAAAAATTAAATATATTATTATAGTAGCAAAAAACATTAAAGGAAATTGTAGATAATTATACAACAGATATTAGAACTAAAATTATATTTTGAAATAGTTTGTATTGTATATATTCTATTGCTTTTGGATCCTCAAATCTAGGTTTATTCAAAGGATAAAATATAGTATTACTATATCCAAAAAAATACACCTGGAAAATCAAAGCTTATTATAAAATGTTAAAGTATTACTATTATTTTAAAATATAAATTTTTAATTTATTCATGGCCTTTCTGGTTTATTTATAAATTTGGTCATTAAATTACTAAGTATAAGTGAAAATCTTAGTTAAACTTTATTAGATATATATGCCAATTGACAGAAGCCAAGTACCCATCATTGAACAGAAAAAATGACAAAATTTGCCTTACTATATATTGCTGTTATTAACATTTTTATCTTGTGAACATAAATTATATCTGTCATCAAGACATACAGTTTAGTTATAAGAAAATATCAACCAATGGAATCAGGGGCTGGCTAATTTCTACTAGAATTAGAAATATATATCCATATAGATGAGTATCACTTATACCAGACATAGACATCTGAAGAAAAACAGAAACTAATTACATGTAGAAAAGCATGGCTACTACCTCATTCCCTAGACTTCGGGAGGGTTCTCTTACACAGTTGTGTATCCTCACTCTGAGAGACAATGTAGCCTAGGGGCTGAGAGCACACACTCTGGCCCTACATTGATTAGAACACCTGGGTCTACCTCTGATTAGCTGTGTAGCTTTGAGAAAGTTACTTAGCTTATGGGTACCTCAGTTCGCTCATGTACAAAATGAAAATAATATTGGAACTTCTTAGGTTTAAGAATAAATGAGCTAATATTGATAAATCACTTACATCCATATTTGATACATAGTCATTTTTAAAAACTATCTCCAATTCCAGGGGCACAGCAAATTGGGAAATGCCATCTCTGTTATAGTCCTGCCCAAGACAGACAGACCACAGTGGGATGAACTCATCCCAGGTAAACACAGTATACCTTCAGCGAGTTGGGCAGAGATATCTGTTAAGTTTGCAGTTAGAAAAATGTTTTTTCTTTCCTCAGTATAGATGTAGACAACCCTATCTTAGAATTAATGGATGTCCTTGAGGGTGTGTGCGTGTGTGTGTGTGTGTGTGTGTGTGTGTGTGTTTGTGTGTGAAGTTTTCTCATAGTTACCTACTGGATGAGCCAGAAGGATGAGGAAACATACTTGAATCTCACACTGGTGAAAAGACATTGAAAGTCTTTTATAGAGAACAGGTTGTTCTCTATATTTATAAGTCTGTTTCTGGTTTGCTTATTCATTGATTTTGTTTTTTTTTTAGATTCCACATGTAAGTGAGATCATATGGTGCTTGTCTTTTCCTGACTTCGCTTAGCGTGATACCCTCTACCTCCATCCATGTTGTCACAAATGACAAGATTTCATTCTTTTTTATGACAAGATTTTATTTTTTTATGTCTGAGTTTTAGTAGATTTTATGTATGTACCATAGTTTCTTTATCCATTCGTTTGTCGATGGACACTTAGGTTGCTTCCATATCTTGGTTATTACTATCAATGCTGCAATGAACATAAGCGTGCATATATCTTTTCAAGTTAGTGTTTTTGTTTTCTTTGGATAAACACAAGGAAATGGAATTACTGGATCCTGTGGCAGCTCTATTTTCAATTTTTTGAGGAACCTTCATACTGTTGTCCATAGTAGCTACACCAATTTACAATGCCACCAAGAGCGTCTGAGAGTTCCCTCCTCTCCACATCTTCACCAGCACTTGTTATTTGTTTGATAGACATTCTGACAGGTGGGAGGTGGTATCTTATTGTGGTTTTAATTTGCATTTCCCTGATAATTAGTGACGTTGAGCACCTTTTCCTGTCTGTTGGCCATCTGTATGTCTTCTTGGGAGAAATGTCTATTCAGGCCCTCTGCCCATTTTTTAATTGGATGTTTTTTTAGTGTTGAGTTGTATGAGTTCTTTATATATTCTGGATATTAACCCTTTATTGGATGTATCATTTGCAAATATTTTCTCCCATTGAGTAGGTTGTTTTTTCGATTTGTTGATGATTTCCTTTGCCGTGCAAAATCTTTTTAGTTTAATAAAAAGTAGTACCATTTATTTATTTTGTTTTCCTTGCTCGAGATATATCCAAAAAGATATTGCTAAGAGCAACATCAGAGTTTACTACCCATGTTTTTTTTCTAGGAAAGTTATGGTTTCAGGTCTAACATTTAAGTTTTTAATCCATTTTGAGTTTATTTTTGTATGTAGTATAAGAAAGTGGACCAGTTTTGTCAACACCACTTATTGAAGAGACTAGCTTTACCCAATTGTATATCTTTTTCTCCTTTAACATAGATTAATTGACCATATAAGTTAGGATTTATTTCTGGGCTCTCTATTCTATTAATCTAACTACATTTAAAAGTGACTATGCCATTTTTCTTCTGAATAATTAAAACGATAAACCAAATAAATTTTTAATTTACATAGGGTTTTCACTGTCAGGTTTTCTGTCAGTACCCATGAGGAGTTAGTGGATCTTTCCCAAATAGAAAAACCTTTCCTAAAGAAGTATTCTGGAATTCATCAATGTATCAGAATTTAAATGAGAAATTTTTATACTCTAGACAATTGATATTTCTTAAAGTGATTTTCTGATAGTTCCCAGAGATGTTTAAAGGTATTTTTTTGGTTGGGGGTCTGGTGGGAGAAGGATTTCTGATTATTAAAAAAAAAAAATGCTCGGTTAAACGATGTTAGGTTTCTTCCCCTAGAGCCTTTAATATGTCTTATGAATATCTAAAGGAAATGTAGTCAAAACCATATGTTACACTCATCATCCCATGAAACTCAGTTTTTCAGTATAGCGTCTTAGGAACCAGTGCACATCAAAACATACTTTTGCATAGAGTTGCTTCAGGTAATTCCAAGAGTGAAGGGTCAATGTTTTATCTTATGTCTAACTCTTCTAAAGTTTCTCCTCTTTCAAATGTCTGTCAACTTTATATTTAGGTTATAGTGTCAGTTCTCATTTCATGTTGTTTATAAGCATGATTTTATTAACGTGAGATGGGATTTAAAAAGATTTTTGTAATGAGAATTTATTTTAATTTTCACCATTTCTATACAAACACAAGTTAACAAAACACATCACAAAACTGTAAAGTTTCATAGTTAATATGTATAGGTGCATAGTTTCATGCTCACATGTTTTTAAGTATTGTATATATTAATGAATTACACAATATATCATTAAAAGACACCTAAAAATCTTATTATATATGATAGTAAATCACAACTTCTCAACAAGAGCAACAACAACAAAAAAATAGTGAAGATTTACAAACAAGTGGTAGTCACTTAGGTGTTTTTAATTTGTTTTAACATTTTCTATTTGAAGCCACAATATCCACACAGCACACAAGGAACCTGCTACCATATATTCACTTCAGTGAGAGGGAAGCACCGAAATGCTGAATTGGGGCAGGTACAGATGCTTCAATCACTGCTGATGGAGACTTCAAAATACACTGTAAAAACTTTGGGAAAATGTCATGACTGGGCATGTTGGAACTGAGCACTTATACAGGATGGAACATCTGTCAGCAGATCTTGAGAAACTGAGAGCAAAGGTATTTCTTAGGCTTCAGGTTCATAGTCTTGATACCCTTCCTAATAGGAAAATCAGAAAGACGACATGCAGTTAGTATAAATGATCAGTAATTAAAGATTTAGGGTGAATGAGCTAGAACATGGTTCACCACTTTTAGTCAAGGTTATACACGTGACAGATCTGGTGCTATTCTACTACACATAATTTTATTTTTAAATTTTGTCTGTCAAATATAAAAGTGAATTATGCTGGTGATCGGAGATAGGATATCTAATTGCCATTAAACAATCATATGACCTAGTTCTGTAGGGTAAATTAGTTGGCCTATCTGGTTCTCGGTTTCCTCAGCAGTAAAAAGTGAAAATTAAACCAAATGGCCTACAATGCCTCTTCTAAGGTAAGATGATCTAGTTCTTAAAAGTAAGACAGTTAAATGCAATTTACATTTTTTTCTCCTTTCTCTATCCCAATGAAAATTTTATCTTCATCCATGGCTTTATCACTTCCATCCACTCCCTACTTGCCATACAATAAATGGATAACATCCACGATAAAAATAATGGCCATAACTAAAGTGATCAGATTAGTTCTCCTAAAGAATAACTAATATCAGGATCCTGTTTAAAATCAAACAAATATGCTTTGAATAACTCAAGTTGCTTTCTGAATAAAGTACAAATTTAAATGAAAAATTTGTTCTAGTACTCTACAGTTTGTCTTTGACTCATTGCCGCAGCTATAATCTGCCACTATTCTGTCTGTTCCCTAAGCTTGCATCATATTTAATTACTGTTCCTCAGACATATCTTTATGCATTGTCAGACAGGCATACCTTTGCTTCTGATATTCCTTTGTGCTAAAATGTCCTCCCCATTTTGGCCTATCACATCTCCCACCTTCTCCCACCCAAATCAATACCATCTCCTCCATAAAACTTCTCCTAATTGATCTAAACAGATCCTTTAAAATGTTACTTTTTTGGTTTAATTTTGGTACATTTCTGCTTCTGTGATACCTGGTGCATAGAAGACAATAATGTTTAAGAAATGACAAATGAAAGAATGAATTTGTATGTTTTTAGCAAACCTAATGGGGCGTATACTTCTGGGTCTTGGTACGATCATTTATTCTTATTTGTATTTTCTGTAGTGTTTAACATTGTGTCATGCATAAAACGACCCCCAAATATTGGTAAAATCTAGGCAAAGAAACAACTGAATCTCAATTTCTAGAAATGGGATTATCATCAATATGCCTTTTAATGATGCAATGAAGAATAATACATATGCTAACTATAACACAATTTCACTCAATTTTTAGTGAAGCGATAATACATTTTCTTATGACATCTGTGTTTGGTATCATGGTAATATTGTCCTCATAGAATTAGTTGGGGAGTGTTCCCTCTTCTATTTTTTAGAAGATGATTTATTAATATTAATTGTAAGTAATTGGATTTACTGTAATTATTCTTTAAATGTTTGGCAGAATTCACCAGCAAAGCCGCCTGGTCTTGAAATTTTCTTTATGGATAGGTTTTTAATAATTCACTCTGTACTTTATTAAGAGGTCTTCTCAGATTTTCTCTTGAGTCAGTTTCATCCATCTAAAAGTATGTTCTAATTTCCCTTGTGATACATTTTCTCTTAAAAAACTTATTTTCAAATTAAAGTTAATCAAATGTGCTGTTTAAAATGCTATACTGAGTTATATCAGTTGTTGCATACCATTCATTTATCATCTTTCTACTGTATAATTTTTGTGGTTAACTTTTTTTACTATGCAAACATTCCCCTGGAAATGTATGACAAATAATAATTACTTTCTTTCAGCACCAGTTAATTTCTCTAACTTTCCATTTTGGATTTGAGAATGTAAGATTTCTAATAAAAATGGTTCTCTAATGCAAGTTGAAAAACTTTTTTTTTTTTTATAAAAGGCCAGTTAGTAGGTATTTTAGTGTAGGGGGCACATCTGACCTCCATTGCTGGGGATTTTTTTTCTGTTTTTTTTTAAACCCTTCACAAATGTAAAAACCATTTTTAGCTTGCAAGTTGTCCACGTCAAATATATCCTGGATTTGGCCAGCTTGTTCATCTAGAGAGTAAGTCATTCTCATTAAGGAGAAATACAAGAAAAATCTGAGAGTGACGGATTTTGGTACTACTTATTGGAGATACCCAACTTAAACTACTAAACTTTGTTTGGAGTTTTATGTATATAAACTTTTACCTCGGAAGGCATTTCATAAGTTTCGTTTTCAGGATCCATGGGCATATCTTCCAGAATTCCTTCCTGTGGAGCTCCTTCTTCACTCTAATGTTTAAATGAAAGCAGAAAAAGAATATGATGAGGTACTATTTATCACTTTTTAAAGTCACAAACATTTTGAAAACATCCGATGTACAATACTGGCAAGGATGTTGTAAAAATGATACTCAGTATTACTGTTGGCATTCTAAACTATACAATACTTTTGGAAAAACATTGTGGCAACATGTGTTATTTATCCTAAATATGCACAATTTTTTTGCCCAAGTAATTCATTATCCAAGAAATAGTTCAAAGCTATAATTCAAAGATGTTTTTCACAGGATCAGGGACAACGGTAAAAAATGAACCTGAATATTCAACAGATGAAGAACAGTTAAGAAAATTATCATTCAACTATTCAATATTATGAAGACATGTATTAATATGATGTGAGAATTATATAGCAAAATGAGAACATATTTATGATAAAAGTTTTAGCAGGCTATCCAGTATTTTATATATTATGGATACGACCTGTGTAGAATTAAGATGCAAAGTTAAAAAGATTAAAGAAAACACAACAAAATGTTAAAAATACTTTTTGTTAGGTATGTTATTTTTACTTTTTAAGTTTTGTTATAACCATTAATAATGTAAAAGCATACATATTTTGTAATGTATTTTTAAATAATGGTAATTTTTTTCTGAAATTTCAAGATTTAAACTATATAGATATATATTTGGAGGAAGGAAATCAAATACATGGTCAGCCAATTTTCCAGGTATCTCCCTTTAGAAATAGGATATCACAAAACTCAAATTTAAATGATCATTGTTTTATTAGTATTATTCATTAAATACCTTTTGTTGCTTTGCATTTATTTCAGCAAAGTAATAATAAGAAGATAAAGTTCATTGAAAATTGAAAGAGCAGAGCAGCAATGTGAGCCTAAATAACTTAAAGAGATCAAGAATAGCCCCACAGCCAATGTAGCTTATGTTTAAAAATGTCTGATGTAAATGTTTCCTCATGTCTTCATCATAGAAGTAACTGGCAGGAAGAAGGATGAGGAAATGGCTGATCATGAGAAAAGATCAAACTGAAACTCATGCCTACATCATCCAGGCAGAGAAGTTTAGAGATCCTCTTCCCCTGCCCAATTCTTTTTTTTATAAACCAAAAAAATTCAAGTTATATATAAATAAAATTAAATATAAACCATCCCCCAAATACCTTACTTCTAAATGTGGAGTACAGATATTGTTTCCATAGTGTTTCGCTTCCTAATACGAGTCAAAAGTACAGGTTCTGTTGCATTATGGTTAGACACAAGGTTATGTCTATGGTTAGAGCTGCGGTGAGAATACTTAAGATCTACTTCCCAGTAAATTTCAAGTATACAATACAGTACTGCTAACTATATATATAATCGAGAACTTATACATCTTGCATAACTGAAATTTTGTATCCTTTGACCAATATTACCCCATGTTACCCTGCCCCTGGCTCCTGGCCACCACTATTGTACTCTCTGCTTCTATGACTATTTTATTATATTTTATTTATTTATTTTTATTAAGTTTATTGTGGTAACATTGGTTAATACAATTATATAATTCTCAGATGTACATTATAATTTGACATCTATATATTCTATTGTATGTTTACCACCCAAAGTCCAGTTTCCTTCAGCTACCATATATTTGATCCCATTTACCCACTTCACCCTCTCCCTACCCTCCTATATTTGACCCCCTTTACCCTGTCTACCACCCACATCCTTTCCCACCCCACTAGTAAACCACTAGTCTATAGTCCATGTTCATGAGTCTCCATTTGTTTGTCCTGCTCATATGTTGCTTTTAGGTTTATATCCCACATATAAATGATGTCATGTGATTTACAACATTTTCTATCTGGCTTATTTCACTTAGCATGATTTTCTCAAGGTCCTTCCATGTTGTTGCAAATGGTAGTATTGTACTCTTCTTATGTCTGAGTAATATTCCATTGTATATATTAACCACAGCTTCTTTAGCCAATCATCTATCGTAGGACACTTCAGTTGCTTCCATGTCCTGGCCACTGTGAAGAATGCTGCTATGCACATCGGTGT